TGCGAATCGGTCCTTCGTATCGTTAGCATTTAGTCGTCACATCAGTATCTGATGAGAGGCATTGAGTCGACCTTTGATAGTTTCCATAGCCGATGAGCATGCGGTGTTTGCGACTGATGTGATTCGGGGATGTTTTCTCGTGATTTTTGGTGTTAAGTTCCCGATAGATCTAGACCTGATCGCGATGAGTGATGTCTGTGTCATTGTGGGCATGGACTGGTTAAGTCGATTTGGAGCAGTGATCGACAACGAGCATCATTTGGTGACCATAGGAGACCGTAGTGGGGGAGTGCTTACAGTATATGGCGAGGGTGCCCGATCTGGGTCAACATTCTACTCGGTTGCCAGAGCGAGGTAGATTCTACAACAAGGTTGCAAGGGTTTTGTAGTGTATGTGATGGATACACGTGTTGCTGCTGAGAGACCAAGTTCTATCGCTGAGGTTCCGATAGTGAGTGAGTTCCTGGATGTTTTTCCCGAGGAGTTACTAGGTGTGACTCCCGAGAGGCTGGTGGAGTTGCATATTAATTTGGTTTTGGGAGTGGCGCCTATTTCCAAGGCACCTTATCGCCTTGCGCCGCATGAGATGCAGGAGTTATCATCATAGCTCCAGGAGATGTTGGGGAAGGGCTTTATCCGACCGAGTAGCTCGTCATGGGGAGCACCGATCCTTTTTGTCAAGAAAAAGGATGGTTCACACCGGATGTGAATTGATTACCGGCATTTGAACAAGCTGACGGTCAAGAACCATTATCCACTTTTGATGATCGATGATCTGTTCGATCAGTTGCAGGGTGCATCTTGGTTTTCCAAGATTGATTTGAGGCCTGGATATCATCAGATGAGCGTTCATGAAGAGGATATCCAAAATACCACCTTTAGGACTCATTATGGGCATTACGAGTTTGTGGTGATGCCTTTTGGACTCACTAACGCACCGATGACGTTCATGGATCTCATGAACCTGGTGCGCAGGCCTATGTTGGATCAATCGGTGATCGTGTTCATCGATAATACTTTGGTGTATTCAAGATCCAGAGTGCAACATGAGGAGAATTTGAGAGAGCTTCTTGGAATATTGAGATCGGAAAGGCTTTATGCCAAATTCTCTAAGTGTGATTTCTGGTTACGAGAGGTCCAGTTCCCGGGAGACCTCGTTAATCAGAATGGGATTTTGGTCGATCCGACCAAGATTGAGGCGGTTATGAGATGGGAGGTGCTGAGATCCCCCATCGAGATCAGGAGTTTTCTAGGATTAGTCGGCTACTATTAGAGATTTATCCGAGATTTGTCCAAGATTGTCGTCCCCCTCATCAGGTTGACCCGGAAGGGCGTTACTTTTACTTGGGGTGCCGAGCAGCATACCTTATTTGAGACTCTTTGCCAGAAGGTGTACGACGCCCCAGTGTTAGCTCTTCCTAAGGGAATGTAGGACTTTGTGATTTATTATGATGCATCTACATCCGAGTTGGGTGCGGTGATAATGTAGAGAGGGCACGTGATAGCATACACAACGAGGCAGTTGAAGCCTCATAAGATGAGATATCCCACCCATGATCTAGAGTTGAGGTAGGTAGTGTTCGCCCTCAAGATCTGGCGCCACTATTTGTATGGGATTCGGTGTACCATATACACGGACCATAAGATCCTGAAGTATCTCATGGATCAGCCCAAATTGAATATGCGACAGAGGAGATGGTTGGATGTGGTGAAAGACTATGATTGTGAGATCCTGTATCATCTGGGCAAGGCTAACATGGTAGCCGATGCCTTGAGGCATAGAGCAGAGAGTGCGCCGATTCGAGATGTGTGTATAAGGATGACAGTGATAACTCCAGTCTTGGATACCATTTGAGAGGCCCAATCGGAGGCCGTGAAATTGGAGAACCGCAAGAGGGAGCAAATGATTGGGTAGGCATCCGAGTTTGAGACAGATAGCCGAGGACTTATGACTTTCTGAGGGCAGATCTGGTTGCCCTATACAGGCGGAGCTTGGTGTATACTGATGGAGGAGGCGCATAAATCGAGGTTCTCGATCCATCCCGGGGACACTAAGATGTATTTAGACCTGAAGAGAGACTACTGGTGGCCCTGTATAAAGAGGGCTATTGCTTGGGTAGTTGAGAGGTGTTTGACCTGCCGCTGGGTCAAGGGAGAGCACTAGCATCCACATGGTCCATTGCAGCCTCTTGAGATTCCCCAGTGGAAGTGGGAACAAATCTCGATTGACTTTATCACCAAGTTGTCGAGGACTGCGCGAGGAGTTGACGTGATTTGGGTGATTATGGACCGACTAACAAATAGTGCTCACTTCCTTTCTATTAGTGAGAGCTCTTCTGTAGAGAGATTGGCTGAGATCTATGTACGAGAGTGGTAGCACGACATGGAGTGTTGGTCTCGATAGTGTCGGATCGAGACATGTGTTTTACTTCCAGGTTTTGGAAGAAGTTTCATGAGGAGTTGGGCATGCGCTTGCATTTCAGTACTGCGTATCACCCACAAACAGACGGGCAAAGCGAGCGGACGATTCAGACGTTTGAGGACATGTTGCGTGCATGTGTCATGGACTTTGGAGGAAGTTGGGACACCTACATACCACTGGATGAGTTTTCCTACAACAACAACTATCATTCGAGTATTGTTTTTCCTCCCTTTGAGCTTCTGTATGGGAGTAGGTGTTGGATCCCCATTTGCTGGGGAGAAGTGGGATAGAGAGTGATGGGTGGCACACAAATAGTGCTGAAAACGACTGAATAGATTTAGTAGGTCAGACAGAGGTTACTGACGGCACATAGTCGCCAGAAGAGCTATGCGGACAGGCGACGATCCGAGCTAGAATTTCAGGTTGGAGATATTGTGCTCCTGAAGGTATCCCTATGGAAAGGTGTTATCCAATTCATGAAGCGAGGTAAGCAGGTACCCCGATACATCGGTCCTTTCAGAGTGACCGCCAGAGTGGGTAGAGTAGCATACTAGTTGGAGCTACCTGCCGAGTTGAGTTAAATCCATAACACTTTCCATGTATCCCAGCTGAGGAAGTGTATAGCCGATGAGATGGCAGTGGTACCATTGGAGGACATTCAGGTAGATTCAAACCTAAAATATATTGAGAGCCCGATCGCAATCTTGGATTGAAAGGTGAAGGTTCTAAGAAACAAGGAAGTGCCCCTAGTTCAGGTTCAGTGCCAGCATCGGAGAGGGTCTGATCTGACTTGGGAGTCAGAGTTAGAGATGTGGGAGTAGCATCCAGAGTTATTTGCAGAACATGGCTTCAAGGGAAAATTATGATTCTAGTTGGGGAGAATTATAACATACGGATTCGCAGGTATATTATTTTATTTATTTATTTGTGAGGTTTGCTGAGTAATTCGACGAGTTGATGCCTCGACTCGTCGAGTAGAGTCGCGATTGGTGATGTGGATTATTGAGCTGACTCGACGAGTCTATGAGCCGACTCGTTGAGCCATCACTGCTGAAGGAAACCTTAAATTCTCGGGTCTGTGGCCTATTTAAGGACACTTATAGCCTCCATTTCATCTCACCAGTAGCCTTGCACCCTTGAGAGAAACCCTAATGTACTTAGTGAGCCTGAGTGGTGAGGATAGCTAATCTTGTGACCATTTTGACTCATTTCCTTGAAGAGGAAGGAAGGTTCATTAAAGAGCAAGAAGGGAGGGCCAGTAGATATGCTTCTTCTTCATCTTAAGCATAAGATCAAGGTAAAAAGCTTTTACCTTTCTTGTAGGATGGTTAGATCTCATGCTCTTGAGATTTAGGGCTTGTATCACCCTCTTGTTGGGGCTTTGGATGCATCAAGCCCCCTTTTTGAGTCTAGAGTCCAGATCTGGACCTTGTGAGGTCTAGAGAGTCCTAAATTTCAGAGCAACAGTTGACCAACTAAAGAGTTTTTCATTTTGGAAGCATTAATGGAGTGGTGATGGCATATAGAGCAATGTATGCCATGCATGGCCATCAAGATTGAAACTTTACATGACTTTTGGACATTAGGAGGCTAGATCTAGTGGTTGGAGTTATGGATCTGCTCTCAGGTGCCTAAATATGGAACTCGATTGGGTAAACTCGCCAAGTCTATGAGATGACTATACGAGTCAGATGGGGTTTGTCCCAACGTTCTTGACCCAGTGATAACTCATCGAGTTGGGGGTTAACTCGATGAGATGAGTGAAACCTTAGCAAGACCTCTGAGGATACAAGTGGACTCTGCAAGTAAGGTCAACCTTGACTGTTGACTCGTATCGATTTCTATTGACTTTGAGGATAGGTCAATTATGAGCATTTGAGACCATGAAGGGGTAAAATAGTCTTTCACCCATCCCAAGGGTTAGAAAGAGAGTAAGAGAACTTGTGGTGTAATTAAGTAAGATCAGGGTATTGATGAGAAATGCTTATCTAATGTGTTAAGCGGAGGGTCGTTTGAGACTTCCGAGTACGTGTCTATTACTTGCTAGCTACGAGGCGAGTCTTCTCACTATACTTTACCTAAAGTGGTAATTATGTGTGATTAGAGGGTCGTATGTGCTTACTTGAGTTATGCATCTTCTATGTAATATGTGTTATATGCTATATTATGTGATACTTAAATTGGAATGGAGGGTCCAATGAGCCATGAGACCGAAGGGTCCTCACTTAGACCAAACCAGAGGGTCCAACGAGCTATGAGACTGGAGGGTCCCATTGAGACACATTGACCGGAGGGTCTTATAGAGCTATATAATCGAGTGGCTAATTATTTTTGCATGGTATTTTGGGGAACTCACTAAGCTCCGTGCTTACCATGTTATTGTGTTATGTGTTTTAGGTACTTCCGAGGATCACGGGAAGGCACCGACATGATTGCACACACCTGTTCAAGACCTAGTTGAGGATTCTGGGATTTGATTTTTTTGTGGATTTATGTTGAATCTTGAGACACTTGTGGTTTTATGAAATATACTATATGAGTTTATGTGTTTTGAAAATGAAAAATTTGGTTTGAATATTCACGTCGTTACAGTAGTAGGCTTTTTCCTCAAAACAGTGGCAATATCTACATCCATCTCACCAACTTCTTGAATGTAGGACTTGATCATCAGTTGGAGATGGGACATAACAGGTTCATACTTCTCTTTCTCTCTCAACATCTTGTAAAGAACAATCCAATCATAAGGATTCAGACATGGAAAGTCTGCGAGTGTAAATTTGTAGACCCGACTATCCGAACATCTCGCTACTTTAAAATTTGCATTGGGAAAGCTATCAGTCTCGATTGGCCTAGTAACTTTCAAAACAGCAATTTTTTTTGCACACCAAGTTTCATATTGGGGCTTCTTGTGCTTCAAGTAGAAGGAGAACAACATGTGATTAGCACCGCTATCTATGATAGGAGCATTCACAACCTTCACGAAAGCACAAAACTTGAAAGGCTTAGGAGTAATGGGTAGATCCAGTTGCAAATCCTGAGAACTTTGAAGATCAAAGGAAGCAACCGGATCCAACCAATACTGGCTGGGCAAATCCATAACATCATGTTGGATTTGCTTCAGGGTCCACTTGAGAAATAAGAGCATTTTTCTTTTGAGTGTAGCCTGAGCTTCTTTTTCGGCCTTTTCTTTATCCTCAACCTCCTTGACGATAGATTGATTTTCATTCAACTCTGCATCACGAGCCTTCCGCATTTTAAGCTCAGCTTCATTAGGCTCCTTGTCTCCGTCATTTTCAATTATAGGCTCTTCACGAATTAGTTTTTCCTTGCCCTTAGGTTGTTTCTTGACAATGGGGTGGCTAGGGCTTTAGGCAATTTGTTTCTTGACACTCCAAATCCACGTTCTCCCCCTTGTTTCGGATCAGAGTTCTGAGGTGAAACACCCTCCAGTCGGTGAAGCATCGCAAATACGGAATGTAACTTTTCAGCTAAATGATTCCAAACTGTGAAGGTAATCATTGAGTCCTTGGTCTTAATGATATCTAAGAGTAAGCATGTAACATTTGAAATGCAGCTTCGCATGACTTCCCTCTCAGATAACAGATCCTTGACCTTTTTCTCAACATTTTCTAGTTTGACCCAACACTTTGACCTTCTCCATTTTCACAGGGAGAGTATCCATGACCTTACTCTCCATCGCCAAATCATCTTGAATTTTTGTGATTTGCGAAGTGATGGAGGTTTGAAATGTTTCGTGATCCTTTTGTAAGCCTTTGCGAAGATCTTGTCAGTTATCCTTCTCTGCTTTGAACATGGAGACCAAATTTTGTAGAGCTGCATTTGTAGAGGCGGTGTTGTTGTTGTAGGTAGATGGGTAATCCTCCATAAATGCAGTGGTGTCAGAAATTAGTTTATCGACTTTTTCGGTCATTGTCTTTGTTGGGTGTTAGGTGTTGCTGATGGGTTTTAGTCATAAGACATCCTATGTGCTCATACAAACCCTAAAGCTTGGATCTAGGTTTCTCTATTGTACATGCTTTGAATCAAAAACTATAAACCCTAATTCTAGCATTCAAGTAATCATATTAATATGTAATTAGGTTTAAGATGTTACCTTGATTGTTATGTAGCAATAACAATCCCAAATCTCCTTGATTTGACTTTGGAATGCTTAGAGTCACAAGTGTCACTCCTCTAATGGCTTACAAACACCAAGAGCAAATGGAGAAGGTATAAAGAGAGAGGAGAGAGATTAGAATTCTTCCTTAGGACTTCTTGGGAAGAAGTACACGAATTCTAAGGCCTTAGGGTCTTTATATAGGTGTAGAAATAGGGTTTCAGTCATTATCCTTATCTAGTTGCTTATCCACAAAGCAACCATAAGATAAGCCTTGAAAACCCTTATCCTTTGTCCTTTGGACGATTTCAAGGATCCTTATCTCCTTGAATTTGTTCAACCCATATTTAGGATAACCATTACCATATTTTGTAACTATCACATAATTACAATTCAGCCCCTCTAGTTTAATTAATTACACTTAATCACAAAATTAATTCCTAATTAATTATTGACCAATATTAATTAAGAAAATATGATTTCTCCTTTAATATATTATTCTTATAACATATTAATAAATCATAATAACCTCTCTCTCTTTATTTATTTCTCCAATCAAGTTGCTTTGGTGAAGGCAACCCAAAAGGACCATGCACCATCGGGTCAAGTACATACCAAAATAGTTATGGACTTAGACACTAATCCAACAGTCTCCCACTTGGATAAGTCTAATAACTATTATGCGTATGACTTCAGATCCTGATATGCAATCGTAGCTTTCCAAAGCCGCTGTCAACTCTGATCCTATCAGATACGCGTGTCCTTAGATAAGGGATCATATATTCCTCCATTCTAGATATCGTATGAGATATGATTTCTAATCATTCTCTTTGTACTACTTCTCGAGTTCTTATTTATGACGACTGACTAATTGAACAAATCAAATTAGCCCTAGCCCGGCCGAGCATTTACGTTTGTCATCACTAAACCATCGAGGGGCCCAAAGATATCGCTTTTATCCTTCTTTGGATAAAAGGAACGGATAAACTTTGATACAATGCTTGCTTGCACTCACTAACCAAATCACACACAACAATATGTTTTATAACACCAAGTTACTAGTGTGTTTTCATATTATCAATGTGCAACCGATTAGCAAGATACAACTCACACATCTCGGTTTCAAGAATATAAGATGTTATCGTCTCACCAATCACTCGTGATACAATTCATGGAGTGATCCAAGTGAGCGTGGGTTTAATCCAATGCTCAAATTCATATTCATAAGCACTCATGAATGTTGCAGCAAACATTTGCTTATGTCTAATACTCTTTTAGACAATCCATACACCAATTCACGATAGTCTTCATTCATATCTACTTCGAACATATGAACGACTATGGCCCGTTTGAATAATTCGATTATTCTTAATAAACTCAATTATTCTGGAAGTCAAAACATGCAAAGTGAAACACAAGAATAATACTAATCCCATATGGCCTCAACCCTTTGAGCATAAATAAAACACGTTTTATTTATCACCATATCGATTACTCATTATTTGTCGTTTTGGGTAATCAACTTCTTATTTGAATTATTACACTTGTCCCATGCTCCTAGCATGCACACAATGTTTACCTATGCTTCTTACTTTTGTTAAATAGACAAATTGAACACATTTCCAATCATTCTCATTTTACAACTCCAAATCCATTTTCTTAAGTGTAAGAATATCAAATTCTTGTTACTTATAGAATATACTAGATTCTAACACTTTATGCAACGATCCTTTTGTAATGTCACTGCACCAAAGTCTCAAAGACTATTGCCAATGATATTACAAAGTCCTCTAACGTAGATTGTTACAAGACAATTCCTTAGATATGATGTCTCTCACTCAAAGTACATTCCTTTGAACATCCTTTTGCATAAAAGTTTCTAATCTAGTCATAGATTTTCAATATTTACTTCCCAATATGGACATGCTTCCATATTTTCCATATGACAACTTATTCTTAATAGAATCTTATCTATTCATAATAATGTCAATATGGTCCATCCAATACCATGCTTCCAACTACTCACAAGCAACCAATCCTCGTCGAACTTTGGATTGTTCTTTGATAGTTGTTTAATTATTTTAGTCAAAACCGATTCTAGTCCCTTTTCCCTCTAAATGCGCTAGACATTTGGAAAATTTTAGAATGGTCAAACATTAAATCATTTTCAATCGATCCTATACACGATGCACAATGTTTTATTTTCTATGTTCTTAAAATTCGAATTGTGAAAAGGAATTCCATAATCATAATCGAAATTTTAAGAACACACTATGTACCTTTGACTAAATTTATTAACATTTCTCAACCTAATCCTTTAGATTTGAAATGTAGCATAATATTCTCTCCCTTAATTATAGAAAAAACAACTATACAACCCTTACGACTTTGCAAGGTATAACTCTTGTTTTCTATAATTAATATTGCCAACTTGCAAAACTTTCCATAATAATCATACACTCATAACATTTATGCTCCCACTATTATGATGATTACTATAAAACATAACACTTATGCTCCCACTAGCTTTGACATGTATTCATAAACATCTTAACTTTCAGAAAGACAATACCTATTGAATTTATTAAGTCCATGTTTCTAATACTTAGTGCTTTGATAATCTTTTATCAAGGATTCTTGAACTTATACACTTTTGCCTTAGATAGTGCATATGTGTGTCTTAACAATTAAGACTAATTGCCAAACCTCACAATTCAAATTATGGAAAGGGATACCATAACCATAATCGAATTCGAGAATGCAATTTTACAATCATTATCTTCTTAAAATCTTTCTTAGTGAAAGCATTTCCTCACAATCATTTTCATGAAGGAGGAAATCTTATGATACTTAGATTTTTAACGGTGTATGTGTTCCTATCCATGTGAATTTGTTAAAACCAAAGTTTACAACAAATTCAAACTCATATGGACCGAACTTTCTTAATCTTGATTTCTTGCCTTATGGTAGCACAGCTACCCACCACGTCTTCCAAGTAGTTAAGCAGCTCACCTTTTCCTATCAATGTACCTTTCATTGATTAAGGTTCCTTGCCTTTTATGCATTCAAGATGAGAACTCATAGGACTCACATGCATAATTAACTCAATTGGAACAGCACAGAATCAAAATATTGTCAACACGATAGGTTGTAAAATTCAACTCGTGTGCTAGTGATGATCGTTAAGGTTTATTTGATTTGTTATTGAAACCTTTCAAGACCATTAAGACTCTCACTGACTCCTTGACATATAAGATTCTTTTGTCAATAACCATTTCTTGACAATCAAATATTCAGGAGTTAGTGTAGTTTTTATCAAAACACTTCATAAATTGGTCCTACTCGGTCCTTGTCTTATTCAAGACATCACAACTTTCCACATTTGATGAATGTTATAAACTTTTAATACTTTTCACTCATTGTCACAATCTTAACTTTAAGACTTGTTATTGCAACGAAGTATGATAGACTTCTTGATTTAACCATTTCTTCAATCCTTGATTCCTCTTCTTAAACATACAATTGTACTAAGACTCACCTAGAGGATCAATTGAGATATGGTTCTTAATCATTAAGATCTATCATAAAGCATAAAAGCTACTCTCCCTTCTTCTTAGAATGGAGAAACTTTTATCTTTCTGCCTACTTGATTCTTCTTATTCGTTCTACTATTGATCTAAACCCTTTAATCAATTCAGAATTACACTTAATCTTGTAAGTATAATCATATTTACCCAAACCTTTAGTAAATCATGACGAATATCTTTGTTACTCTTATGGTGAACTTGATCAACACACAACTTTGTGTACTTGATCTCCTAGTCCTTCACTTGACACTTTGTCAACGAATTTGTCTAATTTCCAAATATGAAATTTCTCATTCATCATGCAACCAAGTTGCGTGATTCCAAAGTTCAGTCCAATTGAAACTTTGGGCGATGAGAAACTCTCCCTATTTGGTAAATTCTCGACATTCCCCATAAATAACATAACTAAGAATCATATCCATTCGTTGTAGAAATATGCAAACATCAATTTTCATAACGATTTCATTGCAAGGAAGTAAACAAATAAATAAATAAGTCATACAAAATTTATTTTATTTATAAAAGCAGCGGAAAAACATTTGTCCTTACAATGCAAAATCTATTGAAAACTATGTAAAAGGAAAATTTCTAACAACTTTATCATAACTATCTAAGCTCAAAATCCAATCTTCAAGTCCATGCGATCAAGATCCATCTCTTGTGATTAGATTCATCTTGCTCTCTTATCAAGCTTCCTTTCTTTTCACCGATCCTTCAAAACATTTAAATGCAATCTTATCACATCATGTGTTAAGAATCAATGAATAGGAGCTTAACGGAGTTAGATAGTGGATTTTACCTGAAGCGTAGCCATACTTTTGACTCTCCCATCTCTTAGATCTCTTAGGTAAATAGGGAAACTTCGTCTCCAATGCCCCTTCTCTTGGCAATAAAAGCAAATTGACTCTTTTGGAACAACACATGGAACTACTTCAGACATCGCCTTTCTCTTATGATCAAACTTTTCGATCATTGCATGTCTTTCATTGCCATTGTCTATATCCATAGAGGTCTTGAAGTCAGATTCACCAATCAACTTTGCTTTGCTATTGCGCCAAACCATTGCTGATTCAGCAACAATAAGCATATAGGTGAGATCAATAAGGGTTACGTCGTGGTTCATCATATAGTACTCTCTTACGAACTCACTATATGAGTTGGGAAGTGACTGAAGAATCCAATCAACAGCCATTTCCTCACAGACAACGGATCCCAACATTCTTAACC